ATCCTGCTCCTAGCTCCGTTTCTGACCTCGATACTTCCCGCATTACCGCCAGGTTGTGCGTGATGCCGACATTGAAAAAAAAATTTATATAACACACAATTGTAAACTACACGTGCAGACATAGGGAACTTTCAGATTTCAAATGACATCTTATTTGCTGAGATTGAGTAGTTCATTAGGAAATGTGATGTTTACATAACACGTTACAGAAATAATATGTATTAAAGAAAACCCGTGCGATTAAATTGCAAGGAAAGTTTAAAGCCGAATCCTTTTACTTGTCTTGATATTTATTTAACTTTTAACTATTTAAGTGATAGGAAAGTGATGTCGGGGAAGTACGGCAGAGGGGTGTGGGGAGAGGCAGAGAAGTGTGGCGTTAGTTACGAACTTAGACCCATAAAACTGAAGACTAAATCATTGGATGACAATGGATCTTTATGTGGTAATTTGAAAGATCACTTACGCTTCCCCTACAGAATTGTTGTATCATACGTATGTAAGAATTCCAAAACGTATGACACTTTTAAATCGTATTTATAATGCCCTGAAGACTTAATTTTAGGGGCAAGGCGCAATTATTAAGATTATGGGGTGACGCTTCCACAGTTCCAAGCAAACGCGGTACAAGTTAATTTAAATCTACAACGAAATTCTCTTAATAATAGCTGACCAAACTTTTCATGTGGAAAAAGTGTATAGGATTTTTGGGGCAAAACCCTTGAAACCCCCGCACAAATGAGGAAACCAAATGTTTAAATCTTCTTAATGCCTTCCTCGGTCTGTGAGACCCCCGCCCTGGCTACCTAATCCATCACAGTGAGCACCGGGAACAGCCAGGTGTCCGTCCAATTCTTTCCGCCACACCAGATCGCAGATAATAAATCGTTCACTAAGAGGGTATTCTTGTAAGTAGTGTCGGGCTACTAATCGTGTTAAATCTTGCCACTAGTCGTGTTCATTGTAACTATGCCAATTTCCTCACATGTTGAAACCTGACTCTCTTGATCTTCACATCCCTATGAAAGGAAAATATGATTTCTGATTGTGTTTTAAAAAAATTGGAGGTACTTCTCGTCCCAGAATTATTACGAAATCGGGTTATATAAAGAGACGAACCCTAAAAATGTAATAGAAGGTTCCAAAATATTTCAGCTCACAGTGTATCTTCCTCTTTCCCCCCTTCTCTCTCTTTCTCTCTCTCTCCCCTCTCTCCCTCTGTCTTACTCTCATTTATATTTACATCCAGCAATCTCTTTGCCTTTCTATTTCACTCACTCTGGCACCCACTTACACTGTTGAGTGAGAAATCCGGCGCCTTCGACTTCGAAAACAAAATTTTGAGACCATAGGTTGCACTATTTTTCAGTATAGTATTCAGCAGTATTTGCGGGTCGTAATAGCAGGGTTGCATTTGATAATGTAATCGCATGTCTAGGATTGCATAATACAGTTACGCTTTTCAACAAAATATTAACATTTATAGAGTGAAAGTGCATTTCTTCACCACAGTAAAAAGCCGTTTCTTTTGGCACCTTATTGGCTTACATTGGCTGGGTGCGAGACTAACAAAATCTGTGTATACTACTGAAATAATAATGGTGATTAGATGATTACCTGTGGTTGCCCGATAATTTTTTTTCCGCTCCGCCCGCCCCTTCACACTCCGCCAGCCCTTCCTCCTTCGTCTTTTTCCCTTCGTTCTGCCCCATCTCGCCACGGCTTCTTCCGCCATTTTGCTCACCCATCCGGTCCTGCCCGTCAACCTTTGCTAACAATATCGCCCACATGCAATGCGGATAGCATTCATCTCGATTTTGTTAAATATCAGCACGTGTTGGTGTTACATTCTGAATAAAAACTCCCCAGATGATTTTATTCTCACACTTTCAAAAGTTCCTTGCAAATTTTGGAGCAATCATTCGTTTACTTTTAAAGCTTTAGTGAAACGTACATACGTACACTCAGGCAGCCATTCTTACATAGAAGTCTCGTAATAAATCTTGCCAACTTTTAGGCTATTAGAGGAGATCAAAATGATAACTTTTTACCATTGAACATATAGTGGGCAATTTCATGTAAGAAAACGATGTTACAAATGTGACATTTGCCTCTGATTAATTGACATGTTTGCGCATCTGTCGAACACTTGTGACTAATGAGTTGCCTGACAATCAGGGGCATATGTGATACGTGTA